ACCTTGAGGCAATGAATCCTGATGCATTTATTCATGACATTTCAAATTCTTCTTTAGTCATATCTCCTAATGGTGATCTTGATAGCCTACTTGAGCAGCATGACGCCACGCTCGTTTCTGTCCTAAATTCTCATGCTCCATCTAAAAACCGTATAGTTTCTCTGCGTCCACACAATCCCTGGTATACATCAGAGATCAAGACTGAAAAAGCTAAGCGCCGAAAACTTGAAAATCGATGGCGCCACTCTCGCTTGACTGTTGACAAAGAATTATATGTTGAACAATGTAATATTGTAAACAATCTCTTAAAATCTTCTAAAAATGGTTACTACTCAAACATGATCCGTGAGCATCAGTCGGACCAAAGAACTCTTTTTTCTACTTTTGAAAAAATGACCCACAAGAAGTCTGAGAAGAGTTTTCCATCTGCTTCTGCAAATAGTTTTGCTGATTTTTATAAATAAACCTTTTTTTATATATCTTTTTTCAGAAATTTTTATAATAGTATTGAATTTTTCTATATTCAATTTTGTAAAGCGCATCAGAACCTGGTGGATATTTTGCGCTATATAAATACTATTTATTATTATTATTATTATTATTATTATTATTATTATTATTATTATTATTATTATTATTATTATTATTAAATATCTTTCTGGTAATCATCAAGTGAAACAGTGTGCACTTGTTCTGGATAGTCTGTACTGGTACTACAATGACCATGTCCAATTAAAGATGAAAATCCACATTGCGCCATCGCGCATCAGCGTCTCAAACTGTAACCTGTATTCGAGGTGTTTTATACTGTACTCAAACTGAAATTGACCAGGCTATTGAAGAGGGCGTTGTGCTAACAAAATGTAATATAACGCCGTATGTTATTGACTAGCTCAAGCCATCTTTTAACTTGAAAGTTATATTTGAAAGAGAAGTTTGAACTAAGATTTTTTTAGATCAAGATTGGTATTTAACTAAGTAGATCTAGCCCTCATTTATTCATTTGTTTAGAAGTCATATGTATTGTAATGCCTTCAATCGGCTTGAAAAAGTATCACCATCCACAGGCGTTGACAGCTACGCTAAAGTTTAGGGTAATCATTCATCATGACTACACTCTAATCCAAAGTAATATACATCATTATATATATATTAGAATGTTTTTTGGTCTGATCAAAGCTTTTGCATGTCAATATAAAAATATCTCAAACTAAGCGCATGCCATCGTGACATGCATATTTAGCATATTTTAACATATTAGTCACAGGAAAACTCTTTGAAAATATTTATTTAATCTGTAAGTCACTGTTTTCACACTTCAAAAATATCATTGAGAGAAAAAATGAGAATATTTGAAGCGATTTGTTTTTCTCAAGTTGTATATTTCAAAGTGACACACTTAATTGATTGGMCGTATTGCGTGTCATTGACGCTATCTTTAATATTCTTCCACTCATTGTCATGTTAATAGTCAGCTTAAACTTGGTCAAAGTAGGCATGAATATGTACGCTTTCGTGCTGTGTAAGTTTTATTTCGATTTGTTAGGTACCAGCAGCGATATATGCGACTAAATTTTACCTTTGATTTGACTACCGCTCGATCACCAAAACACAGCAGGTTTTTGAAGGCTAATTCCTCATATTTAAAAAGCCTGTTTTCTCAAGTTGTTTTCATGTTTTTACTGACATAGAGTTGATTTAGCAATTTGCACAAAATGGGTTCAATTGGGATATTTTTGGTCTGTTGACAGCTCTTTGAATTTAGCATTCGATCGTGCATATTAATTAGGAAAAATCAGATGTTTTGATCGATTTTTCAAACTTTTGTCATTTTCTCAAAAATAAAAGCGTACTTCAACTTTTTAATATGATTTCCTAAAAGAGGTTACCCAAGGGGTTGTTCTCGATGCTTACAGACATACGCTCTTAAATACCTTCATTTTATCAAAAAGAAGGACTATATAGCATGGGGGTATCAAAGTAGTTCTTGGCTTCTTATAGGCATATTTAGGACTGGTAAAGCACCATATCTGGGCTTCTTTTAAGCCATTTTCATTKAATTAACTGCAAAAAATTAAATAAAAATCAAGACAAAACCATTATTATTTGAAAAAGGCGCTTATATAGCAACACGCGATCAAGCAATATTAACTCAAAACACGTATAAATGTGCCTCTTACTTACATACTTCAATATCTTCAGGTTCGAAATGCTTTTTGAAGATGAAAACTGTTGGTGCCATTAATTTCGCCAAGTACTCGTACACATAATGAACTCATCAATATCTTTATTTCTATCTCGAAGTAGTTTGAGTAGTTTGAAGAAGGTTCAATACTAGCATAAATACATAAATAAAGGCTAGTTAAAATTACAAGTATTTTAACTACAAAACGATTACAAGAACGAAATTCAACTTACGTTATGACGGTTCGGCGAACAAGTAGGCACTGAATAATTACAAGATCTATCGAACACAAAACGCTGAAAACGAATACATTACAAAGCCTATGGGAAAACAACGATCTGAACACAAAGGAAAACTATGTACTAAATGCAAAGACTGCTAAGTACAAATAAAGAGAATAGAGTACTAGTCAATTGTATAGCATTAACACGCCCGGCCATCAAGTGCGGGGCGCGAGCCAAACACTTATACCTAATTAATCAATATCGATAAGTTTATAGCTTAATAAATGTTCATTTGATGAAGTATTTCATGTCTCCATGAGATGACATAGTTTCGTTATTGGTCTTTCCAGCGTGTCGACTCTTGACTTGACTTTTGCGCTTCGAACGTAACCTTTGCTATATTTGTGAACTTCCACGATCCGACCTAGGGGCCATTGGTTTCTCGGGGTCTGACGCTCATAGATAAGCACCAGGTCTCCTATTTCGTAATTCCTGCTTTGAGTCGTCCACTTCTGTCTCTCTTGCAGGAGGGGCAGATATTCCTTGGACCATCGTTTCCAGAATATATCGGTCAGATGTTGCGCCTGCTTCCATCGTCTCCTGGCATAGGTATCTTCCTTTCGGAATACTCCTGGTGGAAGCGATGTCTCTTCTTTAAGCAAAAGTAGTCTGTTTGGGGTCAACGCTTGTAAGTCATTCGAGTCATCCGAGACTGCTGTTAAGGGTCGCCCGTTGATAATCGATTCTACCTCGCACATGTATATCTGTAGTCCTTCGTCATCTAGAACTTGCTCTTTGAGTACGGCATTTAAGACTTTGCGTATCGATTTGTTAAATTCAGACAATCATGGACAAAATTCATTGGACAAAGTGTATGTCTACTAAAACTTACTGACAATTTCCCCCCGTGGCCCCCCATTTTCAATGTTGGGCTCGAAACAAACCATCCTTCCATACTGAAACATTTCCGCCAACAACATTGTTAACCAACATTGACTGTGGGGGAGGGGGAGGCTTGAGTAAGCATTAAAACAGCCTATAGGAGAGCGCATCTGCTAGAGCGCAGTAATAGCGTTCTGATCATGCTTGATCTCTGATTTCTTTTCGGTAGTACCTGTAAGTTTACTCTGTGCGGTCGTTAGAACGCATATTTCTTCTGGATAGGCTTGATTTTGGACCTTGCGCAAAATGATATCTTCTGCCTTTTCCATTTCTTCCACGGTTACTCTTTCTACTATAGAGGTAAATTCGAGACTATGGCCTTGTTTCTTCTTTACTAAGGCGTCCTTTACTTTGGTGAAGTATCTTAGCACTAAGGCCATCGTTTTTTTTAAGTCGATACCAAGAAAAGAACTTAAGAAAAGCTTTTTCGAGCGGATCTTGAGATGAGGTAATGGTCATAGCAGTAATGATTTCTTTCCTGACTTCTGGGTCGTCTTCTGATATTTTTGGTTTTGCTTGTGGAAGTACTGGCCAATTCTTGTCATCGTCCCATAGAAATTCTGGTCCGTTTAGCCATGTGCTATTCGAGATGAAGTCGTCGGTGGTCAAGCCTCTCGATCCTTCGTCTGCTGGGTTGGATTTAGTGTTTACATATCTCCACTCTGTAGGCTGATATCTCTCTCTTATGTATGCACTACGATTCGCGACGAATGTGTGGAATCTTCGGCTTTCGTTACAGATGTATGATAGCACAGATGTGCTGCCGGTCCAATATACCGACTCGTCCACTGGAAGTTCAAGCTCTCTTTTCGTGGTGACGTTGAGTTTTACGGATATAGTTGCGGCCGACAATTCCAACCGGGGTATAGTGATCTTTTTTAGCGGGGCTAGACGCGATTTTCCCATCAGGAACGCACAGTTGACGTCTCCAAATTCATTGACCAGACGAAGATAACACACGGAGCTGAATGCATACTGCGAAGCGTCTGAGAATTGGTGGAGCGCTGAGCGGACAACCGTTCCAAAGTCTGTAGGTATCAGGCTGCGTTGAACACTAACGCCAGCGAGTTTATGCAAATTTTCTAGCCACCTTTGCCACTTGGTTAAGTTGTCTTGAGGAATCTCGTCGTCCCAGCCGAGCTTCAGTCTGCTGAGATCTTGAAGGATGAGCTTTGCTGGCAAAATTGCAGGAGCAATTAGTCCAAGGGGATCGTACACGCTGCTCACTACGGACAATATTCCACGCCTTGTCGGCGGTCTTTCCCTGAGGGTGACGCTAAATCCAAATTCTGAATCAACACACCATTTGACTCCCAGAGCTCTTTCAACTGGTAAAATGACGCCTTTCGTAAGGTCCAGTTCTTTGATTCCTTTTGCGCGTTCTTCCTGAGGTTTGGACTCAAGTTGTTGCTGATCCACTTTGTTAACCGGAAGCCTCCACGCTTGTTACATCTTTTACGTTGGCTATCGCATCTTCTACTGTGGGAGACGATTTCAGGCAGTCGTCTACGTAGAAATTCCTTTTTACCATCTGGACAGCATCGTCGCTGAATTCGCTTTGGTTGTCTTCGGCCGATCTTCTTAGGGCGTAATTTGCAGTGCTTGGCGACGAAACAGCGCCGAATATATGCACAGTCATGCGATAGGTCTTCAAGTCTTGGTTGAGGTCTCCATCCGGCCACCAAAGGAAACGGAATACATCTCGATCAGCCTGTGTTACTCTTACTTGGTGGAACATTGACTCGATATCCGACATCGTGGCGATGGGAAATTTGCGAAATCTGGTTAGTACACCTACGAGGCTGTTAGTCAGGTCGGGTCYCTTTAACAATTCATCATTAAGGGAGACTCCCTGATATTTGGCAGAACAGTCAAATACGACGCGGACTTTATCTGGCTTATGTGGATGGTAGACACCGTGATGTGGGAGATACCATACTTTGTTATCTTCTCTTTCCACTCGTGGTATTTCTTCTGCAAAGCCTTTGACCTTGAGGTCTTTCATGAAGGTCTTGTAGTCGCGTAGGAGCTTTTCGTCTTTAAGGAGTTTCTTTTTCAACCAGTTTGTACGAAGGATGACTTGCTCTTGGTAACGACACAGTGTAATGCCCATCAACAAGTTTACAAGATCTGTTCGCGTTGGCGATGAAGCAATTTTCTTCAACTGACATAGCTTGGTCGTCTAGTGCGATGTCGTTGAAGTCTCTATTTTGTAGTACCTGTCTATCATTCGAGACAAGGACTCTGGGTCGGTTTTTGTGCTGAATGACTTGTGCTGCTCAAGTGGACTCCACAGGGGGCCATTGATAGTCCAACCAAGGGCTGTCTTTGATGCATAGGGACCTCCATCTAAGCTATGGCGCTCATCAATATCTTTACGTTATGACGGTTCGGCTAACAAGTAGCACTTAATAATTACAAGATCTATCGAACACAAAACGCTGAAAACGAATACATTACAAAGCCTTTGGGAAAACAACGATCTGAACAAAAAGGAAAACTATGTACTAAATGCAAAGACTGCTAAGTACAAATAAAGAGAATAGAGTACTAGTCAATTGTATAGCATTAACAAAAACTCTGTCATATTGTAGTTGCTTTCTGAAATTTTGGTCAATTTCTCTGCATTTCGTGATCACTTTCAGCCACGCATCAGGCCATTTTCGTGACTCTTTGTCTTTCCCAGATTGTCAAATCCTGATACCTTTAGTTTGTCATGATGAACCACATCCAAACACGGCACAGTTATCCCCTGGCATAACTTTTTAATGAATTTCTACTAAAACTCAATAATTCACAATAATATAAAACGATGACCGAACTGATGTTTTAAAACGGCTTTGTAACTCTCTACTCTGTTCTCAAATTGTGTGCACGTTCAACAGACGGTGACGCGAAAAAACCTGGACAAAGAGATGCCCCGTTGAAGTTTGCTGGGTCTCCTAACCATCTCCCTCTATTAACTATAATGGCACGGTCCCTGTCACTGGCATGATTTTGGCTAGCTTCCAGTCCTCATTGACTTGGTGAGATTTTAGAGACTTGGTGTAGATAACCTTGAGTATGGGCGCAATTTGCAATGCCAGCTGTTTTGGAATTACGGGTTTAAGTTGGTCGAGCCCGGCAGCTTTGTGTGGATTTACATTTTCCAATAACTTTACTATACCCTGTTCAGTGATAGAGATTTCTGGCATTGATGTGAATGGGCTGCAGGTGTCAGACGGCATAGCTGGGTCTGTATCGTGTTGGTAAAGGCATAAAAGGTGGAGTTTAATAATTATTAATAATTTTTCTGTGGCATCAGTGACCAACAAACCATGTTTTTTTAAAGATGGTATACTTGAAGAGTCGGATTTTGCATGTTTGAATAATGACCAGAAACGTTTTTTTGATCCCTATGCTGCCTGTTTTAGAACTACGGGTTTAAGTTGGTCGGGCCCGGCAGCTTTGTGTGGATTTATAAAGATATCTGCGGTACGCAGTTTATCAGATATTTGTTTTCTGCACGTTTCGTTAAGAATTCGTTTGTGCATTTCAGCACAATTCATGTCCCTAGTGTATTCGATAGTGCTCGTATTTGCATACGAGCTGTTTGGTATAAATACGGTGTCCTTTGTACTAGTTCTTTCTTCTGGTCAAACGAGAACGGCAACTACACTTTATTTATTATTAATTCTCTTTTAAGTTCTTATATGTATGTATACATATTTTCCACTTTTACTATGAGTATAATTTGTGACTATGTCTTAACTGTTTTCCATCTATTTCATTTTGTAATGTGGAGAACATGGCCACCTCAGCGTAAGCTGCAAATCAAGAGACCCACAGCAATCCTCAAGCTCCAAATGACTAGATGATAGTGGCGATAGTACGATTTAGATTGTTTCATTGCAGTTTCCTGTTTAAGGAATGAATATGTCCCAAATGTGAAGGGAAGCACTATTAGCGTAAAAGGGCGTTTGAAATCTCATCTCCACTTTTGGGAGAACGTACTAGAATCCTCACAATTTGTGACCTGTATGATCAGAGAGGGTTATAGGCTGCCTTTTAGCGAATACCCATCTTGTTGTTTTCTTAAGAACAATAGATCCGCTTTTAAGCACCCTAATTTCGTTGTCGAAGCTATCGAGGAGCTTCTATTTAATAATTGTATTGTCGAGAAGGAATTTCCTCCATATTGTGTTAATCCTTTAACTGTCGCAGAGGGTAAGAAGCTTCGACTCGTAATAGATCTGCGCCACGTAAACGCATTWATTTCTAAAGTAAAGTTCAAATACGAAGATCTTAGATCGCTTTCTCAGGTTCTAGAAGAGAATCACTGTTTTTTTTACATGGGATCTTAAGTCAGGCTATCATCATGTTGACATCTTTCCAGATCACCAAAAGTATTTAGGTTTCTCGTGGGTAATCAACGGTCAACCCAGATATTTTTGCTTTTCAGTTTTACCATTCGGGTTGAGTTCAGCTTGCCATTGTTTTACTAAACTTATAAGGCCCTTAGTTAAGCGCTGGCGCTCGATGGGTCACATGTCCTTTGCTTATTTAGACGACGGATTGGCTAGCCAACCAGACTTCATTTCTGCCATGGCTGCAAGTACCATCCAAAGAAAGGATCTTGAGCTAACTGGAACCCTAGGCAAGTAGGAGAGTGGCTCGGCTTCATAATCAACACCATTGCCATGCAATTTAAAGTACCTGAAAAGAAGTTAGTTAAGCTGAAGTCCCTCCTCAACAGTGCTGTCAGCGAGAAGTCCATAATCGTCCGTCAGCTGGCCAAGATTGCAGGCACAGTCATCTCCATGAGCTTAGCTGTCGGTCCGATTGCTCGACTGTGCACGAGACAGATGTACCATGGCATCGAATCTCGAACCACAGGCTGGAACCAACGCCTAACTATGTCGACTGCTCTGTTACAGGAGCTGAGGTTTTGGTTGTACAATATCGACAACTTTAACGGTTTTTCCATCAGACCTCCGTGTTCAACCTCGCCCATTGTTATCTTCACCGACGACAGCGACTTTGCATTTGGCGGGTATTCTAGCAATGTTTTGGGGTCCGCTGTAAGAGTCATGTGGTTGCACGAAGAAGCTTCAAGGAGTTCTACATTTCGTGAGATGAAAGCCATCCTGTATGTCCTAATGTCATGTGAAGAGAAGCTTAAATCTTCCAGAGTAGTCATCAAGACCGACAGTCAGTGCGCAGCCCGTGTGATTACAGTTGGGAGCACGAAGCCCCACCTTCAGAGCTTAGCTATGGACATTTTTCAACTATGTTGTAGCAAAGGTATTGCTCTCGAAACCCAGTGGATTCCTCGTTCTCTTAATGAAAAAGCAGATGTGCTAAGCCGCTTTTTTGATCCTGACGATTGGTCTGTTCATCCATCCGTGTTCCGCATGCTTGATGCTAGATTCGGTCCGCACACAGTTGATCGTTTCTCATCCCACTACAATTCTCAGCTTCCTTGCTTTAACTCCAAATATGCATCACCAGGCAGCAGTGNTTTATAGGGAGGGGAAGGTAAAAGATACAGATTGGTAATATCAAACAAAATTGAACTTGGGGTGGGGAGGGTGGGCGGTACTTTGTTTGGATCGCGACATGGTCAATCCGTCAAATTGGTTTGTCAACCCGTGTCATGTCGCAATACTGGACATACTTGCAGTGGTCGAACTTGATGCCGTACTTGCACAATCATCATCTACCAAAGACTTCAAACGCATGATCACTTTATTCATCCCCGCATTCCTCGAGCTCTTGGAGTAGGTTATTCTCGTCATATTCCTCACTATCTGCCATCAAGGATTCAATGTTATTATCGACCTCTTGYAGTCGTGATATCTTGTCTTCTAACGCGCCGAGAAGCTCTTGCACTTCGAACTCCTCGCACTCGGATGCGTCTTTACCATATAAAGCATTCCCCTGCTCCACCAATCTTTTTGCGAAAACTCATGGGCAGCTCTAGATTTTTTCAACTTTCGAAGATCCATTATCCGGCTCGAAGSACCATGTATGCAGACCAGATTCTGCTTGCTGGTTCGCAATAAGTTACAATACACGTTCTCCACGAAACCTTTATTCTTCTATCGCTCATGTGTATCTATTACAATCATATACTCGAGGTTTATTCTAATTATTTCACAATCGTTATACAGGTATAACTAGTTTTACGTTTATATATTGCAAAATATGGTGACCTTGACTAAACTTGTCATTCATATTAATTCATAATTGTACTGTTACTTATTGATTCTATAATGGCATAAATTTAAAAGTTAATCATTGATCTGAGCTCCAAATTAAGCTAAAAATACTCCATAACAGATGTATATGCACTATCCATGCAACAAATTATGCACAGTTGTAAATTTTACAACTAATTATTTTCATGTACCCAAACACAATTCATAAATTAAAAACATATCAACATCCTGTTATAATGAACTATTATTTATAATGAACWATTTTGTTCATGTTTTTTAAGAGCGGATGTCAGTAAAAATCAAACATAACGTGCCAACTCTTGAAAAATCGATTTTGCTCATACTCTGAACTTAGGTGCCTATTATATAACATAAACAACCATGTATTTGGTTTACATAACGTTTTATTTATGAGTAAATTGAATTTTCGTGGAACGATGTAAATATACTAATTTTGGAGCTATGAAATGGCGATAAACTGATGGCCTCGTTTGGTTAATGCAGCAATGTTTCATGCTTAAAACATTTATAAGATAAAAATATCACCCATTTTCTTTCATTTGGGCGAGATTTAGACTTGTGGCTTATATCTAAAATTTCTGGCGAATTTTTACAAATGACACCTGGTTTTGATTGTTAAAAGTACTCTCAAAATAGCAGTCGATTTGACAAACACTGATATGATCATATCAAATGATTAGTGAAGGATAAAATGTCAAGGAAGAGTTCTTCCGATGTATGTAACCGACCAAAGTTACCAAAATATTAATATTTTCAACAGGTGTGAAACCAACAAGTTGATAAACATGTCAACAAATTAGATCGCTTTATGTTGTGTTTCATACCAAAGAGCAAGCATAAATTAAAATAAACATTTACCTTGTATTTATCTCAAGAATGTTTGTGTTTTGAG